GATCGTGCTGTTGCAAAAATCAACGCGAAGTCAGCGCGCAGACATTAGCCACGACATGTAGTTTTTTCGGTTTTTCTAGGCGCCGTTCTAAATAAGATGGCTTAACATGTGCTATATTGAAATATGTATATGTTTTTTCTTATATTATATTCATGATACAATCTGATCCAAAATTATTCGGAACATTCCTGTCTCGTTCCCACGATTTTAAACGAGATCCCATTAGGAGACACGCGCTTAGGTGGAAGTTGAGAGCATATTTCAGCTACACTTGTTTCCCTAATATGACTAAGACGTGGCGTGTATGGAGAGCGTAATGAACGACCATCTCGCGCCGGAGGTACGCCTAGAACACCGAAATATATGCTCGCCCACCAACGTGCGTGCGAGAAACGAATTAGTATACAAATCACTTTTCAATTTCTTGTTCGTTTTCTCCAAGAGAGTATGCAAGGTCGACAGCCAACCCATTTGTCTTCTGGACTCGGGCGCGCCCTTGTCAAGTACAAGAACGAATGGCGCAGGCAGGTATACCTACGATCGAAGATTCTACCTGCTCTTTCGTAGACAATTCGAGTACGCTCTTCCGTCGACGGGAGTTCTATTAAGGCGTTTTACTTTGCGACCGCCTGGCGCTTTTTTCTCTACGAAGATTGAAAAGCTCCGTGGCCCTGCCTTTGCGATGACGTTATCGCGCGACGAGCAGTTAAATGGTTTCCCCGAAGGATCGCACGGGAAGGGGGAAAAGGTCGCGAACGTTCGGAAATTCCATCACCGAAAATACGCGAGAAACTACCCTTAACGAGTCCTATTCTACATGGCCGTAAGTTTCCGTCCGAAGTCGAGAAAAGGGGCTGAATTCGACGACGATGGCACGACGAACGTCAAATTGCCGCGCGACGGGTGCTTAGCTCGTTACGGACTACCATATGATAGCTCAATCGATAAAAAGTTGTTTCCAGCCGCGACGTCCGCGTCGTACATCATCATACTCGAAACCGAAAACTGACAACAAAATCCCGACTTTAACGGTAGGCGTATAGGACGCGATAAATCACGATAAAAAAACGTGAGATTCTCCGTTCGACTTCTCCGCGCAAGTGTCTCGAGATTTTGCAAATCGCATCCATTTGCGGTCTATCCGGCAGAAAGAACGGCTACGGCACACTATTGTGAGAATAGACGGGCCGCTGCACTCGCGAGCTAACGTGACAATAAGCATTTCCGTGTTCCGGCTAAATAACTTCTTTACGTAATCCCGTTGGGAGGGAAAGAAAGAGAGAGAAAAAGAGAGAAAGAGAGAAAAAGAGGAAGAGAGTAAGAGAGCTGATATCGATGCGGCTTATCGGCGGCTTAGCTTTTAATGGAGGCGTCGACCACGCAGGCGCCTGGTCTAAACCTGAAAGTTTATGGGGTAAAAAGGGCCCTTCCGGACTTCTCTCCCCAGCCCCTCTCGTATTTTCAGCTCGCCCTTTCGAGCCATGACCACCATTTCGCGCGGAGCTCTCGGGTAACAGCTGAAACTGAAGCGTGTCGCGGAAAGTTAACGCGGCGAATGGTCGGTCACCTGATACAAAGAAAATCGAGAGCCTGTCTGGCAGTCTGTGGTCAGGGGAGAAAGGCATTGTTGCGGGATTGCGGGGAATCGGACGATCAATTGACTTTCCTAATTTTCCCGCGCGTCGCGCTGGCATTAATGTAACGTCCGTCGCATTCGGCCTCCCTTTTCCACGTTGCCGATCTGCGTGACAGAGATAATTCTATTCGGCTGGTGATTACAAAGGCACGAGTCGGGCGGACGAATAGGCGGATCACGAAATTGTTCGTCATTTCCCGATGCGGGAGAACAGAATGCGAAATAAAATTGCTGTTAAATGTGCAATAATGAGTTATTTTAGACAATTATTACATTATTACCACTAAATAATTGCGGTTAAAATTTTCTTTCAGAGAATACGTGAAAACAAAGAGAATAAAATATAATTTAATTATCATTAACTTAAAGCGAAAAAGAGAGATTTTTGTCATTTATGATAAAGACAGAAGGCTTTGTTACAAAAATATTGGGAAAAAAAATATTTAAGTAGATTTAATAGTGAAAGTTTCTTAACCCATTTAGTCCTAGGAGGTCTCTATGCGCTTTTTCTTTTGAATCCTTGTACTCGGATCTTATTCAAAATTTTTAGAAATTGGTAAAAAGCGAAAGTTCAAGTTCCTTAACCTATTAAGTCCTAGGAGGTCTCTACGCGCTTTTCTGTTTTAAATCCTTGTAACTCGGATCCTGTTCAAAATTTTTAGACAATTGGCATTAAAAAAAAAAAAATTTTTTTTCCGAAAATCTAGTCGGCAATGAAATATGTAAGATATCTGAAAAGAAAAAGATATGTTAAAAAAGTGAAGGTAAAAAAAAGCATAAGTGATCGCTGCCTTTTACTGACAAATATTTAACTAGTAAATGATTCCTACTCTACCTTTTTAAGTAAAATTTTTGTTATAGATTACTCAAATAAAATAAATACCTATATCAATTTATTCTAGTACCTATATAATAATAACAAAAACTCTATTCAAAAAGACAAAATTATTTGAACATTTGTCAGTAAAAAAGCAGGGGTCATTACGTTTTTCCTGCACTTTCAACTTTGTCTTTTTTTTTTCAGATATCACACCCTATCGTCGACTAGATTTTCAGAAAGAACAACTCTTTTTATTTCTAAATATCAATTGTAGTCTAAAAATTTTGTTTAGAATCCGAGCTATAAGGATTTAAAACAAAAATGCATGTAGGATCTCCTAGGACTTAGATGAGTTAATTAATTTATTTAACTTCATATATGCGTATTAGATAAATTCCAGTTTTAACTCTAGTAAATGTTTTACTATTTGTTGTTACTGTTGCATTTACTATTTGCTGTTACTGTTCATTATTGTAGCAAAATAAAGCAAAATAATAAATACAGTAGATACACTTATTACAGTATAGAAACGCAATAACGTACCTACGTATTTGCCACATCTCTATTTTTGTAACTGTAAATTCTGATGACTAACACTATTGCACGTTGCACAATTTCGCAACGCTTTTCATATTTTATAGTAATATAGAAAAGCTGACAATAATAAATGAGCAAGATGTTTTGTTTTCCAACGTTTTCTAAATATGAAACCTATATTTTTAGACTTGTGCTCACGCCTTTAACTTTATATTTTTAGACTTCAAACTTTTTCGGAGCCTAAAAATGCACACAATGCGATCTTTTCTTTAACTGTGTCAAAAAATATTGTGTCCCCAACTTGCTGATATTATTTCTTATGAATATGATGTGTCCTGAGTTAAAGTATTCGAGAAGAATAGCAAAACTTAACAAGAGTTTCTTATATCCTAATCTAGCAATTCTGTGGCTATACGAAGACAAAGTTTATTGTATTATTCTTTTATGATGTTATCTTAAAATCACATTATACAATTTCCTTGAATATAAATAATTCCACAATTTTATTACTAGTACCACATATAATTTAGAGGCCGATAAAACAACATTATCAAAAGTAAATTATAATTAAATGAATCCATTATATAATGTTATTGCAATTTATTAATCTATTTATATTAATAGTGTGTGAAAATGCAAATAAATTCATTATAATTGCGTCAATCGTACAACATGCAGGACTTTTCGTCAGATTGATTGCGGAATCGACATTTAAGAATGAACGATTGCGGGTTTACGGTCTCCTGTGCTTCTGGCAGGGGACAGGATTCGAACAAAGCGAACTTAATCGCTAATTGAGTGAGAATAGTTATGAGAGCACAAATGGTCCGGACGATTGATGGACTTTCCTAATTCGCTGGCCTCTGGCGGACATGTAACGACGGATTTAATGCGACTTTTCGTATATTTCTCGTCGACCCATATGTTCGTGCAAAACCGACCGCCGAAAGATGACCTCATTCATGCCCCCGATCACAATAGCGTGAAATGTGTCGCCGTTAAATGGGCTACAGGTCGCCTAGAAGCGCGTTCAATGGCACGACTACCGCCTCGTTAGCCTGTCGTTTAGGAATTATATATAATTTGAACCGTTACCATTATATACGTACCACGCGCTCAGCGCTTTTATGGGCACGCGAACATCGATTATGAATTCTATTGGGTTAACGACGAACGACTTTGTACTTAGCCAACTTTCTATCGTATAAGTATTCAGCAACCGGAAGCAACGTTACTCCCATTTTGGGACACAAAGGTGCGTTATGTACACGATCTTTCATCGAGAAAGATTATACTTCAGCAAGATAATACTTGCTGTCATGTTATCAGAAATTCGTGTATCTAAACGATACGGTATAATTTATTGTATGCGAATTCTAGAATTGCAGTAGCTAAAAGATATAAAGATATAAAAAAATTCACAATTACGAATATCATATATTCGATCACAAATATATAATAATTGTGAATAAATTATTGTTCGTTTAGGAAAACCGTCCAAGAGAAAATATGGTATAATGCATTTCAAACATTATGTTATATTTATTTTTCTCCCAAATTACCTCATTCAAATGAATGTTATTTAATATTCCATTTCTATATCACATAACATCACAACTTTTGTATAAAAGTTCTTTCGTACAGTAATAAACAATAATTGCACTATCGGATATTTCGAAATCTGCTGGACGATGCAATAGATATTCATATGTAAATATTCATCAGATATGTATACTATGTGGAAGATCAATTCGAAATTATTGTAAAACCATTTCTAAATTTGTAATATCGAGTCTATTCTTTATCGAATCTTGATAAAATCTTGTTTCATGAATTAAGCGTACGAAGTTTAATATTATAAAACTTTTCGGGGTATTGTTTTTTTTTCTAGTATATGAATATAAACGCGTAGTACGAATTTATGAAAGAGATGCTGTTATATGACGAACACTAGCGCATATACTACTCTAAAAACGACAGAACATATTTTTTTTCTTTCTCTCTCACCTAAATAACGGCAGCTCTACGTCCATTGATGATGCACCGGAGGTGGCGGCGGCGGCGGCAACGGCAGGGGTCTCTCTAAAACGGGAACGGGAGACACGTCCGGCATGGCGAACCTCAGCTTCTGCCAGAACAACTTGTCTCCCCATACCAGCACGGTGTGCGACGAGATTCTCTTTTTAAGATCGGCGTCGAGATCCCGTGGGCACACACCGCCCACCAGAAGCAAAATTACCGAACGGCCCTTTCCCTTGAGAGCGTCCCTCAGGGCCGCCTTGAATTCGAACCTGGACCACTCGCCGTGCAGAAAGTTCTTCGACAATACGAGAATAGTGCGCCTTGATGAGTCGGCGGCTTCGGCTACGGCGTCGGCGACGTTGCTGCCGGCACCGAGATCTCGATAATGTAAGCACAGCCTATACGAAGTTTCAAGACCCGGTACGAGAATCGTCGAGACGAAGGCCTCGTCGACCGCAGAATAGGAGATGTAGGCGTCGAACGGTTTCTCCTGATCCTCGAAGGCTGCGGTCTTGTAGCACGCCCGCAGACCGCATCTGCTGGCGGCCCAGGTTCTCAGAGTACGACGATGTCTGATTGCCCCGCACACCAAAGCGACTGCTGCGAAAATCAGCACGACTGTGGCGAGCAGCAGCGGCAGATAAGCCTCGAGCGGATGCGCCTCGACGACGGAAGTCGTGCCCGTTAATGCCGCGCAATTTATGACCGATCCGTTCGCTGGGAGAGTTATGGGCACACCGAGAGAACAGGTGACGCTACGCCAGTCGTTGATTTTCGCCCGGTTACGGGACATCCACTCCCGTACGCGATCTAAATACGAGCACTCGCAGTTCCACGGATTACTGGACAAACCGATGTCGACTAGATATGGATTCTGGCCCAGTTGCCAGAGGGCGAAAGTGCCGAGTCGATTGTTCTCCAGACGCAAGACCTCTAGCTGACGCAGTGGCAAGAATGTACCGTTATCGATATATGTCAACAGATTATTCTGCAGATACAGCTCCTTCAAATTTTCCAACGGCATCAGTTCCACGCCGTTAAGCACGCTTATCTTGTTGTTTTCCAAATGTAGCACAAGCAGCCGCTTCAAACCACTGAAAGTGTGATTGCGGATCGCGATGATGTTGCTATCGTTCGCGTAAAGAATCTGCAAGTTCTTCCGGCCAATGAACGAATGAGAATTCAGTTCCCCGAAATTGTTCCCGTCGAGATAAACCTCCGTCGCATCCATCGGTAATCGACCCGGCAAAGTTTTATAGCCCGAGCTGGAACAGTCGACGACATTCGCCGACCAGGATTGATCGTGATAACACGTGCAGTTCGTCGGGCATGTCATCTCGCAGTCGCAAGCGTCGAAGTCGCAGCAATGGCAGAGAGCGAAGCAGTGCGCCTTGTAAGTGCATAAGAATTGCGAGGATTTGGCTTCCAGCAGCGGTATAAACGACTTGTGACGATCGTAAGGTAATCTACAGTAAACGGACTCGAGATCCATCACCCTTGGATGCTGTCTCAGCGTAAGCGAATTGATCCTCTGCAACCACTCCGTGGTGCAGTCGCATATAAAGGGATTTCCGCCAATGTAGAACGCCGGAAGTTGCCTGTTAGATGGCACCGGAGTAAGTTGGAACGCCGAGAGGTTCATCTTGACGATCAGATTCGCATAGAGATCCACTCGAGTGAGATTCGTCTTGGCGAAGAATGTTTGCGGCTCCACGGCAGATATCAAATTATTGTTGACGAACAGTAGCTCGATGGAATCCGGGATCGACCGAGAATGTATCCTTGTTAGCCGGTTAAACGACATATCGAGCGTCTGCAATCTCATATTCCGTGGCGCGACGCCAAGATCCGTAATAAGATTTTTATGTAGATCCATCCACTGTAATTTTTCAGGCAGATAGCTGTAATCAAACTGCGTGATCATGTTGTCAGACATGTTCAGATACAAAAGACCGGGCGCGCTTGCAAAAATGCCGGACATATCCTGCAACAAATTTGAGTCGAGTCGAATCGCTTGAAGCGCCGGATTGGCAGCGAACGCACCGTCCTCCACGAATTCGATTCTGTTCCTGGCCAGATTTAAGATCTGTAGCGCCGGCAATTCCACGAGATCCTCTTGCGTGATGTTAGTGATCTCGTTGCCGATCATTCTTAGTCCATACAGACTTGACATTCCTCGGAAACCGGGCTTATTCAGACTTCTGATCTGATTCTCGCCCAGATCGAGGGTCCGCAATATCCTCATGTCTTTTAGCGCCACCGGTATGCTGTCGAGATTGTTGCCGGACAGGTTTAAATCTTGCATGCTTGAGCAGTTCCGAAAGGCGTCCGGATGAATTCCCTCGAGCAAGTTGGAGTCCAAGGCCAGCAGCGACAGCGCGAATAATCCGTTCAGGGAGTAAGCATCAAGATAAGTCAAACGATTGTGAGCTAATTCTAGGGTGTGTAGATTGCTCATCGGCGAGAAAGTGTCCGCTGATATCGTTGCTATCTCGTTGAATTGGAGATTTAAAATCTGCAAAGTATAGAGGTCTTTGAAGATTGCCGGATCGAGCCTGCTAATCCGATTGTACGATAGATTCAGGAGTACGAGGCGTATCAATCCGGAAAATGTCTCCGCGTTCAACCACATGCTAGTCAAGACGTTTCTTGACAAGTCGAGAGTGACTAGTTGATTCATATCGGTCACTAAACCCGGCAGCGCACTGATAGAGTTGTTTTGCAATATCAGCTCCTTCAACGACTTGGTCGCATCTCGGAACAACGCCGCCGGCAAAGCGACGATTTTGTTCCCAGATAGGTCGAGGCTCTCGAGGGACCTGAGTCCGTGCAGAGCCTCGTCTGCTACCATGGAGATCGCGTTGCTGGACAAATTCAATACTCTGAGACGTTTCAACGATGAAAATCCGTTGATTGGCAGTACGGAGATTTGATTGTTCGACATGTCCAATGACTGCACGTCCAGGGAACACGAGGGACGGGCCGACGTGGACTCCAGTTGACGTCTCGGATGCTTCTCGGATACTTTCTCTTCACTGACATCTTGAAATCCGAGTTCCGTGATGTCCTTCAGCAAATTCCACGAGATGTTCAAAGTTACCAAGTTTGATAAGGAACAGAACAGGGGATGTGGTATTTGCCAGATGTTGTTCCATGATAGATCGAGTTTTTCGATTTGCGGCATATTGTCGAAAGCGCCCTTTTCCAACTCCAGATTGTAGTTGGTTTTGTGCCCGTTCAGCGTTCTAACGGTCAGATTACGAAGATCGCGTAGACTGCTGAGTAACTTGGCCGGCCAATGCACCAACTTGCATCCAGTTAGTTTCAACGACCGCAGCCGCCATAGGTGAAGGAAGCTGTCCACGCTGAGTACGCCACTGTCGTCTTCCAGATCGGAATCCTCGCAGACGATGTTCATGGAGGTCACGTACTCGCTCGTGGCCTGAGAAAAATTCGTCTTGAGCGAGTCGTTGCCCGTGTAACGATGCACGCAGGTGAGCGCGCCATCCTGGCGCGAATCCCACGAACAATAGTCGGGCAAATCGAGCCTCGGCGGTAGCTCGCTGGTCACGGCGAGCACGTGGTACACTGGCACGAGCAGGCAGTAATAGGCCAATGACAGCGACAGCGATCTTCTCCCGGGACCTTCGTGCCGACCGACGAGCCCACGCATCTTTAGTGAACTCGTTGCCTGCGCTTGGTACCGGTTCTCTGTCTCCTAATCATCACACGCCGCGACACCGCGTCACGTTACCGGTTATTGCCCACTGCGCGTCTATTCATGCAAGCCTGGTCGAGACGTGTCACTAAAACCACTCGCTCCGTCGCTCAACAACAAGATTCACTCCGATCCGATTAGCGGTGAGCGTTTACGGACGTCGAATGCCCACAATAAATCAACAATAGTCGGTTCGTCAACGTGATCTCGAAATCGCAACTATTATCACGTAGTGACACTTTAAATTATATCCAAGATTGTTTACACTATGACATCACTTGATTTAAAGCGTCGGTGACTTGTTCGACGCGGCACGGGTGCTCCGTATAATATACGTTTCCTTACAGACAAAAATAAGCTATTCTATTGTTCGCGGTCTTCTCTAAATTCCGCATTCGACTCGGACTCAGTTCTTCAGAACGATCGACAGTGATTACCGAGCCACGTCACGTCCAAGTCGCTTAACAGGCATCAACCCTGTATCAGAATGTTATCCGCTTACGGTGGTTCGCTGACAAACTGATGTCGCGTCTCGCTACGACATCCCGCATTTGGACGAGGGGGACGTGCCCTGTTATCCGCGCGACATTGACGTCTCGTACAAACTTCTCGAATCGCGTCCCGAGATGTACCATTACAAGATCCCGCACATTACATTACTTCCTCGATGTCGGTGTCGAGGTAAAAGCGCTCCGTTTCTCGATCAGGGTCCATTGAAAAATTAGTCAGGCCCCGAGATTCCAAAAAATGAGAGAGCTGTCGACGGGGGAAAGAAGGAACGATAAGAGAAAACGATCGACGATTTCGCGACCCAAGCAATCCGCGGTAACGAAGACGACGCGATGAGCAGACAGAAGGATAGAGATCGGAGTAGAAATCGTCTCCCTACGACGACGGAGACCGTAACACTCGGTACGACGGCCACCGCACGACTGACGAGCGAGATCTCCTCGGCATCTAACTCGACGCAGCGTCCACCAATCGTTTCTACCCCCACCGAGACCGGTGGCGGCAGCACTCACACATAGCGGCGGCGAGCGGCGGCACCCAAGTGGAGTGAGCACGCGCCTACCGCAGGACCTCGGGGTAGGACGAGGACGTCCTGCGTTTCGTACGCGAAGCGCAGCGTCTTTCTTGCGCGTATACGCGCGCCCTACGGTGTAACGCACGCACACGGGCGAACGCCACGTTACCATTACACGCGATCGACGTACGGACGTGCGATGTGCGACGAGCGGGTAGAGAAGAGAGAAGAAACGAGCGGACATTGCACGCAACCTGTCTGTATCTTCTCGCCGTTCTCCCGGTCGGTCCTGCACAGGGCGAGACCAGAGACACGGTATCGGAAAAAAGCATCGACACTTTACTCGTTATTAGAGCCGACAAAAAATATCGATATCCGTGCCGTGCCCGGCGTCGAAAAAGGAAGATATCGATGAATGCGCTATCGTCGATACGCGAGTAAATATCGAAAAAGTAAGGAGACGATCCTATTCACGTGCGCTTTAATGTACTCACGTGCGTAAATAATAATCGATGCGTTTCCATAAATCTAAAATTCTATTTGTCTAGTAATTAAATAATTAAACAATTGTGTTATAAGATTTCTAAATGTATTCTAAGGATGCGACGTTGTTCTACAATGCAAGCCATTTGGTATGGCCAGAACTAGCTTCTGTACTTATCCGGCCTTTCTCGAATGTCCAAGCGAAACGCAAAGCGACAGTAGACAAAAGACGTGAACTGAATGCACGTCCGAAACTAGCTCGAGCGTTACGTGAGTCGTCGTGGACGATCCTCGACGACGGCGAAGGGACAGCGGCGTCTTGCGCCGTCTTTGCCAGGCGTCTCTCCATCTCGCTCGAGATCTCATCCGAGGAGAGGAGAGCCTTCGTCTGTTCATAGAACTATTCTATGAGAGGGCGGAGAACGCGAGCACGTAGCGCGCTCGTCTCCACGCATACGCAACGCATACTCATCCCAGCTGCCGCTACAGCGTCAAAAGATGGCACACAGGGATGTTGGCGAACGATCGAGAAAGACGGAGAGAAGGACGAGTAACCGGCATGTGCACGACTTTGCGACTCGATTGCCGAACTTACACGAAGAACCGCGAACCGGTCTTTTCCTTCTCTTCGCGCCGTGGAGACGCGTTTCTTCTGGACCCACGATATTCGGAGCATCCACCCTGGCATCGACCACCGGTCGTAAAAAGGTTTCGATCAATTTTTAAGTGGCCGCCGAACCAGCACTACTCTCTTTCTTTTTCTCCCTCTCTTTCTGTCTCTTTCTCATTCCCTTCCATTTCGTATCCCGTACCCCCCCGCCCCCGCTCCGGAAACCGACAAACAACGTTCGCCCGCTTTCTCCGCCATGGTACTCTCTCGATCTGCAGATCGCGGCAGATCGAGAGAGCTCCAGATACGTCTGATGCTCAATAAGCCTCGCTGATTCATGCTCGTTCGGCCGACAAGCGACTTTCGACTTGATCGATGGGAACTCGAAATAGTTTGTAACTTGGTGGCTACGGTCGCGTTGCGGTTTCGACTTCGCAGAATATATTCGCGCGCCTCGCTTTGCCTCGCTCCGCCTCGGCCCTCTGTCCCGTCGGCCTGCCTGCGCTCCGTTCTCGCCCTCGAGGAAGCGGGCATTAATTCATATTAAGTGTCACTTAATCGGGAACTTCGACGGGAAATAAGCGTCGGACCCCATCCTCCCTCTCTCCCTCCCCTCCACCGTGTCCCCTCTCGTTCCGTATATCGGATGTTTGTAGCACGATACGAAAGACGGATCACCCGCTTAATTGATGCATAGGCGATAAAAGAGACTTGCCGTATCTTCCGGTAGGTTCCTTCCGGAAAATTGTGAGTTATTAGCCGCGTGGTAAATTCGTAGAAGGAAGATTGTCTGTGCAACTCTTCCTTCGTCTTTTATAATGAGCAAAATGTGACTCAAAGCAAGGATATTTAATCCATTTAACGATATTTTATACTCCAATTCCTTACACTAAAAGAATGAATTGCGATTCGTCCGTAGAAAACGGCATTTAAAAGTTCAAAAAACAAAATATAATTTTCTCTATTTCAGAATTAATTTGCTTCATTAAAACGAGATGCATCTACAAATTAAATTTCTAATAAACGTAATACAAAGATAACTTCGATCATGATCGATCATGATAAGACTCTATTTATTATAGTCTCAAGTTACGATAAGTAAATTCGAAAATTAAACACACCTTTCTTATTCAGAAAAAACCTATTAGTCATAAGTGTGTGGAAATAATCGTAAAATATTTAGAGCCTTCTTTTAGCAAAGTTATAGATATGCCTTACTTTTGTGACCAGTGCAAACGTTCATAATAAGTAATAACAAAGCGATTACATTTATCGGTACAAACACGACTTATTTCGCGTACGTAGACATTAATGTCGCGTCGGAAAAAGATCAAACGCTTCCTCGAATTGCAATTAATTTGTCGCTCCATTACGCGAGGGTTCTCCTGAGAGTCACATTTAATTAAAATCGTTATAACGGCGATCGTGTGGATCGTTATAGCTCCAATAATAGGCACCGTAGATATCCAACGAGTTTTCCTCCGGGCAAAAATATACGCAGTCTTACTCGGGTGCCTTCTAGAAACGAACCTGTTATTTCTCAGCACACGTCTGCTTCGTTATCAACTAATGTTAGAACAGACTCGCAGTATTAAAAACGCTTGTCGGTTGCGCTACACGCCGTACCTTCAAAATGAAACTTGGCACAACGCGAAATATCTAGTTGTCGAACAAATCGAGATTAAATAGTTCCATTTTCTTTCACGAAAACCGGTAAAATTATAATATCTATCAAAATTAAAACCTGAAAGACTTGAACAACAATCGATGTTATACTTTACAATAGCAGCAGTTTAAACGTGAGATATATTTCATTATTTATTCCGAATGTTACTTCTATTTTGTTTCGCGATAATACAATGTAAGTTTCTCAGCACACACACATCTAGTTGCAATATATTCAAAAATAATTCTACCTTGCTGCTTCGCGTTAAGAACTTTCTTATCCGATTCGAAAATCAATTAGTGGCAGATTTAGTTTCCATGTAAGAGGCGAGTAGCGCGCGTCACCGATGCGCAATCTTATCGTCCGGAATAGCGCCTGGAAATGGCGGGGAAAAAGAAGTTTTAATTAAACCTAGAATAAGAGTTTAATCGAGCAAGAGGGATTAATTGCCGGGGGGGGGGGGAATTAAAACGACCGTGGGGTCAAAGGAAACTGGCCAGTCTCTTCCGCGCGGTACTCTCGCGACTTCTGAAATACCTCAGGCAAAGCCATCCGTATAAATATGCGCGTGAAATCTCGCTGTGAATGTTCTATTATGTCTAATTAACGGAACGCCTGACTTCACGCGCACAATGAACGCCGACGTGGGTCCCGCTTTTCATTTTCGAGCTATCTCGTCCTATCAAATTCTTCTAATTCCTGGCGATCCGTGGGCGAAACGCGGCTTCTTTGTGCGAAGCACGCTAGAGTGAACAACGGCGAATTTAAAAGAATCTTGCGATCAACTCTCTCTCTTTCTCTTTCACGAGTCGGAAGCTTCACTGGCGTTGTTTTGAGCGTTCTTTCTGTACATTATAAATTAACTGTGTAACTCTCGCCGGGCCAGGTTTATTTTTTACCATCTTATATTGTTTTATTCGAACACATCCCATTTCGCGATTCCCAAGAGACCGCACGCGCAGCTGATGAGAGCGTAAAAATAGCCGGCGAATGGTTTCGCGAATCATTTTTAGCCATGCACTCGCCGTCAGATTTTACCGAGTATTGTTCGATGCACTGGCACCGTGCACAACATATACTATGTCAAACAATAGTATGCTTTACGGTGATTCGATTTATATCGGATTTTTTTGCCGTGTGTTACACATCAGGCGCGCCGTGTGGCCACGGCATGTCGAAGTCTCGTGCAAAATAGATTCGCGTCCGTTTGCCAAACAAGTCTATCACTGCCAACGCGAACGGAAAATACATAGAACGAATCCGTTGTTAGTACGATGACACGTTGCTAGATACGTTTACTGTACCATATGTTTACAGTTTCTCGATGACACAACGGTGTTAAAAATTTATTTATTGTTAAATATTTCTTGGCTATCGTGTGCCATTGAACATGACTACAATTAACCTGGGAACGGTCACCTGGGGTGATTCTTATACCCCAGTGTCGAAAAAATGAAGCTTGCAATGCGTAACTGTAACTTTAACGTACTTCTTTCATTTTTTAATATTTTTTGGTTTCTCGATCCTTACTTTTTCTTTCAGAAAATATTTAATAAATCTAAATACGTACTCCTCAAATATTAATAAATTATAGAACAATGAAAAATATGCAATATGTAATATAAGTAATAATCATGACTTTCAATTGAGGTGTAAAAACATCCTAACACCCAGGTAAGCGTTTATGCAAAAAATAAGGTTCCCGGACCGTTCCTGGATTAAATTTGTGTAATATAAATTATATATTAGAGAAATTTTTTGATTAATTTGAAGTCGAGATCTCTTCAAAATAAGATGTTACAGAATAAACAATAATAAACAAAGAGTTTTTCATAAACTACAATCACCTTGAGATTAACTCAGGATTGAATAATAAATAATAAAATTTCAATCTTCTATAGTTAATTTCAAGCGGACTTTGCAGAATCCTAATTTAAGACTTAATTTAATTTTAATTTAAGTTACGAAGGTGTTTAATATTGAGTAATGGAAGGTAGGAAAAACGTCCACTCAATTCACTCAAAATTAGTCAAAGAGTTTCTTTTACAAAGTACAAACATTCTTGAGGTATCTTATATATTTATTGTTTCTCGAATCATAATAATTTGTTTCTACATTCCTAAATACACTAATTCACGATT